GCTGCCTCCTCCTTGCACAATCCCACAGCCTCCCATGGCCAGAGTGAACAAGTGGGCAGGGAGCTCTTTCTAGGGACTCCAGCCTGGGGGGTTCCAGATCCTGGGGACAGATAGGGCAGAACAGCAGCCAGGGTCCCTTGATAGGCATCACTGGAAACTGGGTGTTCTCTGCCAAGCACCTGAGGGAGGGGAAGGGGCACGAAATCCCCCAGGGCAGCATCCTGGGGGTGGTGACCCCCACAGAAAGTATTCTCTAGGCTCAGCCCTTGCAGCCATGCAGCCAGAGGGGCAAGAGCATCTGAGTCCCAGAGGGGCGGACGGGCATAGCAGTGCACCAAGCCACTATTAAACCTGGGGTCCCAGGAGGCTAGGATGGCCTGAAGGGCACTAGCATGTGTCCAGACTCTGTGCTGGCCACCTGACATTTGCGATGCCTCCTCCCACACTCTGCTGAGCTGCAGGCCCAGCCTAGTGACCAAGAGCTTTCGAGGGCACCTGGAAGTCAGGTTACAATTCCCCGGCCAGTGACCCTGCCCTGCCTACAACATCTCCTCCTGGTCACCTCCACTGTCTGAGTCCTCAAGGCACAGCCCCAGCTCCTTTCTCTGCCCCCTAAGACCCTGTCTATGACAAGCTGCTTGAGGCTCCCTATAGCCCTGAGGGGCCCACTGTGCCTCTCATTTCCAGGGCACTGTATAAAAAACCTTTCAACGAAACCAACTTCTTACTATAGTGACTCAGTCACCTTCGTAAATAGGGCACAGCTCACCAGCATGCTCTGGTCTTACCTGTGAGCTGTACCAACCCAACACAGTTGGGCCTGGCCAGCTCTTCTCCCCTCCCAGCCAGCCGTGTCCCAGGACGACTCTGATACAAGCCCATGGTGGCACGGCAGGTGGATCTGTGGCCAGGAGATAACCACAAGAGGCCTGCCAGGTGCCCAGCAACTGCCTCTGGAGACCACAGTGAATTAGGAACTGATCCCTGCTGGCCACAGGGGTCCCCAGAAGGTGCCTGCCCCATGGGTCACACTCTGGAGAGAGGCTGCCTTTGGAGGGCTGCAAGCCCTGGGCAGCCTCAGGGAAGGCCTGGCTCGACTTGGGCCATGTTCCTGGGTTCTGACCTGTGTCTGTTCCACAGATATAATGTGCCTGATCAGCTATACTAGCATACTAGCTACGGGCAAGCATGTTCCCGCCCTGGTCCTCACTGGACCACGCACACGTTCTCCTGATAGGTCCCATGTGTACCTATGCACAGCTTCCCTGGTATGAAACAGTCATTATTCTCCAAGTAGCCTTCTTGACGTGACCGTGTGCCTCCAAAGTCAGGCCATCTGGCACTACTGTTGTGGGGTTTAACCAGCCCTGCTGAGGGACGCTGAGCTCACCCCAGCTCGAGGGTCAGGGGAGATCATAAGCCCTGCTGGGAATGTCCCCCAAGATAAACTCACTGAGGGCTGGGTGCAGTGGCTCATGCCTGTAATCCCAGCACTCTGGGAGGCCAAGGCAGGTGGATCGCTTGAGCTCACAAGTTCCAGACCAGCCTGAGCAAGAGCAAGATCCGGCTCCACTAAAATAGCTGGGAGTTGTGGTAGGCACCTGTAGTCCCAGCTACTTGAGAGGCTGAGGAAGGAAGATCGCTTGAGCCCAAGAGTTTGAGGTTGCTATGAGCTATGACACCCTGGCACTCTGCCCAGGGTGACAGAGATTCTGTCTCAAAAAAAGAAAAGAGGTTCGGTGCCCATAGTTCAGTGGTTAGGGCACTGGCCACATGCACCAAGGCTGGTGGGTTCAAACCCAGCCCAGGCCTGCTAAACAACAATGACAACAACGACAAAAATAGCCAGGGTTGGCTCAGTGCCTGCAGCTCATGTGGTTAAGGTGCCAGACACATACACCTGAGCTGGTGGGTTCAAATCCAGCCCGGGCCAGCCAAACAACGATGGCTGCAACCAAAAATGGCCGGTATTGTGAAAGGCTTCTGTAATCCCAGCTATTTGAGAGGCTGAGGCAAGAGAATCACTTGAGCCTAAGAGTCTGAGGTTGCTGTGGGCTGTGACACCATGGCACTGTACTAAGGGTGACAGGGTAAGACTCTGTCTCAAAAAAAAAAAAAAAAAGATAAACTCACTGGTGTCCCAGTGCTCATAGCTCTGAGTAACAGCCTTGCAAGAACTCAGTGTGTGGCTGAAGCAGGGAAGCCAGGTGGGCTCACACACTGTCTCATGGCTGACATTCACAGCAGCCAGAAGGGGACACAGCCCAGCGTCCATGGACCAGTGATGAATAAACAAAGGCAGTTCATACAAGCAGTACTGCATCATTCAGCCTGAGAAAGGCCAGACATTCAACACAGGCCATAACGGGGGTGGGTCTTGAGGACATCCTGCCCAGTGAAGTAAGCAGATACAGGAGGACAAACGCTGTCTGATTCAGCTCACACACAGGCCGGTACCAGAGGTCTCCAAGTGACAAAGTCATTGAGATGGAAAGTGGGGGGAGGGCACAGGGCACAGTGAGGGGGCCTGGGGAGTGGGAAGGAGTCAGGGTTTCATGGGACAGAATGAAAATGTCAGGTTGGGAAGGGGTAAAGTTCTGAAGATGGGGGACAGGGACAGGGAGGGCTGCACACGGATGGGAATGGGAACGCCCTTAACGCCAGTGAGCTGTGTACTTGAAAATGGTGAAGACGGCAAACTTTATGTGTATTTTGCCATAATAAAAGAAATTTTAAGGTGGCACCTGTGGCTCAGT